CGTTGCATTGAGTTCATTTGGAGGCACCCGTATGATATCTGCGTGTATTTGGCACTGATGACATTTCTGGACATATCTGATGCAGTCTGTTTCCATAGTCATCCAAAAATAACCTGCCCTCAGTATCTTCTTAGGTAAAATGAAACCATTCATGTGTGGTCCGCAAGTTCGAGAGTGTATCTCTTCGAGCAGTTTGGAAGCTTCCTTGGCGTCAACACATCGTAATAAACCTAGGTTTGGAGTCCTGTACAGAATTCCTCGGGGACCCTGAAGGCACATTTTTGCGGGATTTAATTTCAAATTGTACCTCCAAAGCCGATCAAAGAATTTCCTCAAGTCTGCTATGTGATATGTACTCTTCTTGGATTTGATGATGACATCATCCACATATACCCCTATCTTCTTGTGTATCATGTGGTGGAAAATAGTTGTCATGGCCCTCATATAAGTGGCCCCAGCATTCTTTAGACCAAACAACATCATTTTATAGCAGTACACCCCCCACGGTGTAATAAAAGCTATCTTTTCGGCATCCTCTTCATCCATCGAGATCTGATGATATCCGGCGAAGCAATCCACAAAGGATTGGAGTTCATGCTTGGTGCAGTTGTCGATCAGTATGTGTATGTTGGGTAACAGGAAATTATCTTTGGGACTTGCTCTGTTTAGGTACCGATAATCGACGCATACGCTGACTTTCCCATCCTTGCGTCAATGCTGTTTGGGAATACATGTTTTTCCTTTACTGCGGCAACCAGAAGCCTTTACTCCATAAAAACAACAAAAGTAAAAAGTGAGTTCGCTAGCTCACTAAGTTCATAATGCTTATCCACAACCGTTTTCTCATGGAGACAAGCAAGAAAAAATGCCAACATACATTATTCTGAAACAAAGTAGAGATCTCCATTTTCAGTAAAGGTAAACAGTCATAGATCATATCACAAATATATCATGTATGTTGTATTTGAATAACAATGCGATGATATAGGAGCTCCATGGTTGAGAAGGGTTGTTTATCTTATCTAGCCTATGTTCTGGATACTACTGCAGAGACTCCGACTATTGATTCAGTGCCTGTAGTTCGGGAGTTCTCTGATGTATTTCCTTCATATCTTCTAGGCATGCCACCTGATCGTGATATTGATTTCTGTATTAATTTGGCTCCAGATACCCAGCCTATATCTATCCCACCATATCGCATGGCTCCAAAAGAATTGAAGGAGTTGAAAGAACAGCTTGAGGAGTTACTAGCCAAAGGGTTCATCAGACCGAGTGTATCGCCTTGGGTGCACCAGTATTATTTGTGAAGAAGAAGGATGGAACGATGCGAATGTGTATTGATTATCGTCAATTGAACAAAGTCAGTATTAATCGGGTTATTTCTTTTATGAAGGCTCAACACATGGTTGAGAAGGGTTGTTTATCTTATCTAGCCTATGTTCGGGATACTACTGCAGAGACTCCGACTATTGATTCAGTGCCTGTAGTTCGGGAGTTCTCTGATGATTCACATAAGTCATAATACATCATACGAAACTACTCATGCCTGTAAACTACTGAGCGAAGTGCAAATGCTCAAAACGACCGGTTTGGTCATTGTAGATGTCGAGAGTACAGATATCGGGACCACCTCATCGACCGCAAACATTTTTTTTGTGGCTAGTTGCTCTCCGTAAACCATTTTGATTCCTCCTGGCATAGGGAATTTCAACGCCTTATGTAGTGTCATGGGTACTGCCCTCATGTTATGAAGCCATGGCCTACCAAATTGAGCGGTGTATCTCATATCTCCTTCGATTATGTAGAACTTTGTTTCCTGAATGGTTCCGGCAATGTTTACCGGCAGGGTTATCTCCCCTTAGGGCACGTGGTGTCCAGTGAGGGTATTCATGTGGATTCGAAGAAGATCCAAGCAGTGCAGAGTTGGCCTAAACCATCCTCAGCCACGGAGATTAGGAGCTTCCTTGGTTTTGCGGGCTATTACCGTCACTTTGTGGAGGGATTTTCATCTATTGCATCGCCCTTGACCAAATTGACCCAAAAGAGTGCTCCATTCAGCTGGTCGGATGAGTGTGAGGAGAGCTTCCAGAAGCTCAAGACTTCTTTGACCACAACTCCAGTTCTAGTTCTGCCGTCAGCTTCAAGTTCTTACACCGTGTATTGTGATGCTTCGAGGATAGGTATTGGATATGTTCTAATGCAGGAGAGTAGGATGATTGCCTATGCCTCGCACCAGTTGAAGACTCATGAGAAGAACTATCATGTCCATGACCTTGAGTTAGCAGCTATTGTGCATGCCTTAAAGATTTGGCGGCACTATTTGTACGGGGTTCATAAAAGGGTAGGCATCCTCTCAAGTTCAATACACATGTGAGCAATTAAGAGTCTTAGGCACATAGAGAATTTTCACAAAATTTGGCATAATAGCCTTCATTTGAACTTGACTTGAAGTCGGAATATTTTTAATGCACAACCCATACTTTGAGCACATTCTCAAGTAATAACATAACACGATAAAAACATTTGGGATACATATTGAACATATATCTTTCAACACAAGCTTATTCGGAATAACCAATTTTATAATGAATAATTCGAGACTTACATAAATTACATGAATACCGTGGGATTCAATTCTAAGAGAGGAGTTTAGTCAACATACCTTGCTTTGAGCTTTTCTTAAATTACTACAATGTTTCGAAATCCTAGCAGTCCCAATCTATTTAGAAACATAACAAAATTGTATCATAATTAGGAAAAATTTTATGGGTTCACCTCATTTAGGCATTTCATCAAACACTAGGTGTGCAAATTTGACTACAAAGTTCTTCTACAAGATTTCTTTCACTTCACAACCCAATCTTTACCCATTTGGGCTCATACTTAACCATACTACGGACTCGAAATCCTTAGGCACTACACTTTATTTTATTTTTTTTATTTTTTTGAATCCACTAGGACTGTTGTTGAGAGTCATCCACTCTGACTTATTCCCAAATATGATCAAACTCCAAGGCTCTGCTAGCACACAAACGCCCTCTCGAAGAAGCACCCGGCTGAATCACCTTTCTTGTACATCACATCTACACGAAGCGTAAATCCTGAGTTTTCCCAAAGCCTGAACATGAATCGATAAGGACAACTATAGCACACATTCCTCATATCCTTTGCTCAAATCACCACTGATGATCTCTTTCCTTAGTCTTAATAACCTACCAATATGCCGATATCCAATCGTAGGCGGTGGGGCTCTCCCGCTTAGCTTGAAGCTACCCTTATATAACCTTGGAACCTACCAAGATTCCTTCTTCCTCACTTACATGACCTCGCGTAATCGACCCACCAATTTTCTCGAAATTTTCATATTAACCATTTCATGAACGCTCTGAATCCCTAGCCACATTCATATGTTCGACCTCATACCGGGTAGCCAGTAGAATTATCCGTAGAAGCTTCATCTGGTAGGTAATATCCATCATCACTAATTGGAATTTAATATAGGATCATTTGGCCGAGAAGGGGTGTCTGGCATATTTAGCCTATATTCGTGATCCTAGTGTGGAAGTTCCTTCTATGTATGTGGTACCAGTTGTGCACGATTTTTCAGAGGTGTTTCTTATAGATTTGTCGAGGATGCTACCCGATAGAGATATTGACTTTTGCATTGATTTGGTTCCAGGCACTCAACCCTATTTATACCGTACCATATCATATGGCACTAGTTGAGTTAAAAGAAATGAAGGAGCAATTGCAGGATTTTTTTGATAAGGGATTCATTAGACCTAGTGTCTCACCTTGGGGTGCACCAGTGTTGTTTGTGAAGATATATTGAGAAGTTCACCCATCAGCATTCATGCACTTGATGAACAGTGTATTTCAGCCATATCTTGACTTGTTCATCATTTTGTTTATTGACGACATTCTGGTGTACTCCTGGAGCTGGGAGGATCATGAACATCACCTGAGGACTGTGCTTCAGACCTTGAGAGAAAAGAAATTATATGCAAAATTTTCAAAGTGGGAATTCTGGCTAGATTCAGTGGCATTTTTAGGTCATGTAGTATCGAGTGAGGGGATCAAGGTAGATTCGAAGAAGTTTAAAGCAGTGCAGAGTTGTCCCAGACCATCCTCAATTATAGAGATCCAGAGTTTTCTTGGCTTGGCGGGATATTACCGTCTATTTGTAGAGGGTTTCTTGTCTATTGCAGCACCTATGACCAGGCTGACCCAGAAGGGCGCTTTGTTCAGGTGGACCGATGAGTGTGAGGAGAGCTTTCAAAAGCTCAAGACTGCTATGACTACATCCCTAAGGTCGGTATTGCCTACTGATTCGGGGTCCTATACGGTGTATTGTGATGCATCGTACATTGGTCTCGGCGTGGTGTTGATGCAGGACGGTAGGGTGATTGCCTACGCGTCTAGACAGCTGAAGGTGCATGAGAAGAACTATCCTATCCACAGCCTCAAGTTAGCAGCTATTGTTTATGCCTTGAAGATCTGGCGGCACTATTTGTACGGTGTCCCTTTGTGAGGTCTACACCGATCACCGGGGTCTTCAGTATCTGTTTAAACAGAAGGATCTTAACTTGCGACAATGGAGATGGTTGGAGTTGCTTAAGGACTATGATATCACCATTCTATATCATTCCAGGAAGGCCAATATACCCAGGGTACACCTAAAATAAATGAATTAAATTATCTGCTAGATATTTCCAGTTCATTGGGTTGCTTCCCGCCATAAAAAAAAAGGAAAAAAGAAAGAAAGAGAGAGAGTAGAAAATAGAAAGAAAAAAAAAGCCAACTCTTTTTGACAAGATCAAGAAAACAAATGAAAAAACGCAAAATATAATTAAAGAGCCAGATTGGATAGGTAACTGTGTAGCTGGTCCCACCTACCATTTGACAATAGCTCATAATTCTGTAATGAACCAACATTGGTTTGGTTTTCCCGTAGCCTAAAAAATCTGTATAAAAAGCACAAACCCCGGCCAATTCTCAACCTCTCAACCTTCTCTTTCTCCACACACACACACACCTCTCAACTCTCAAAAATCTTACATATTTATCAATCTCTACAGGTTTTAATCCTGTCATTGCTTTTCTCATGTGGGGTTTTTGAGATTTTCTTTTTTTTTTTTGGTCTTATATAGCTAAGATCATACTTTTTGTAGATTTTCTTGGTTTAGGAAGACAGATTTTTGTTGGGCGGTGTTTGTAGATTTTTTTTTTTTTGTTTATAGGAAGACAAAGAAAGATGACAGTGGGAGCAGGAATTTGTGTAGCTGAAAGGAAGCTGAATGTGTTGGGACAGAGCATTCTCGCAGATGTTAATGAAAACATAATTGTAACACAGCCAACAGGTGAAGCTTTCACTAATGGGGCATTCCTTGGTGTTCATTCCGATAAAATTGGTAGTCGCAGAGTTTTCCCTGTTGGCAAACTCCAGTATGTTCTTCTTCTTCTTCTTAGTTTTTTCCTCTGCTTGTTTTAAGTTTTCCCCTCTTTTTTCGTTGTTGGGGCCGCAGATTGAAATTTTGAATTTTCATTAATAAATCAAAGTGGTTTCTTTTTTATTTATGATGACGGCTTTTATGTTTTAGCTTCATTCCCTCTGTTTTATTTTAAGTGTTGAGATTTTTTGGGGGTTTTAAAAACCCCAAAATGGAGCTTCGGAACAGATATCGGTCGCATAATTGGTGTCCAAAATGACGAAAAAATCTGTCTGAGTTTGCGATCACTATGCGATCCGCATAACTGTTATGCGGTCGCATAATGCACCGCAGAACAGTTATGCGGTCGCATAGTCGACCGCATAATGTGTTCCTATTTGTTCTTCAAACATCCGATTTACTCGTCCTTAGGTATCAAGTTATTGGTTTCATCTTGAAGGTCGGCTTCGTGGTCGATAGGTAAAGCCATCAATCGAGGGTTTGCCATTACTGATTCGAAGTTGTAAACTGGTGTGTATTGCAGATTTGTATCAAACAACCATTGTTACCCTTAGCCCCACGGTGGGCGCCAAACTGTTTACCCGGAAAGCCGGATATAGTTAAATTTATAAGTAGTTCTAAGGATATGTGATATAGCTTGACATAAATCGTACGTAGAAGTGGAAATGTTAGATTCTTGGCTATAAAAATGGGATATAAATTAATTAACAAGAAAAGTGTGTATGCTGAGTAAAATAAGGAATAAAAAAAGTAACTCAAAGATAACCTGCTCAGCTTAATCATGATTTCTGAAAATAGTTCTGCCTTTCAAGTGTATCAGTGAAAACTCAAGTCGTTTACCGAAGTTACCAAAAATATGAGTAAGTTTGAAAATAATAATTTTCCCAAAAATTCTTTCAACAATAAATAAGATGTTTTATTTTCTTTTCAGATAGCTAGTGAAAAATGCATCACTATGCCCATATGCCAATATATGTGAGAAGTCATGAATGATGCGATACCGTACAACATGAGAAAAATACATCTCTATGCTTGTATGTCAAGTGTGCATGTCAATGCAACGTATCTCAGTGATAAAACCATATGCATACTCTCAGAGTATCAATTCACTCAGTCCTCACAGTCACTCAATCCTCCTAGTCACTCAATCCTTACAGTCACCTGCAAACTAGCTAGCTGGCATAGATATTTGGTCATCCTGACCTTATCAGCTTCAACATGGCTTAGACTGCCCATGGACTTCCGGCTAAGGGCATCAGCAACAATATTAGCTTTGCCGGGATGATATAAAATATTAACATCATAGTTCTTTAGTAATTCTAGCCATCTTCTTTGTCGTGGGTTCAATTCCCTCTGTTTAAATAAATATTGAAGGCTCTGGTGGTCGGTGAAAACATTAATATGAACCCCATATAGATAATGCCGCCAAATCTTTAGGGCAAATACAACTGCGGCTAACTCAAGATCGTGCGTAGGATAGTTCTGTTCATGTTTTCGCAACTGTCTGGAGGCGTACGCGATAACCTTACCATGCTGCATAAGAACACAACCTAGGCCAATTCTCGAGGCATCACAATATACAACATAACCCTCGGTGCCATCCGGAAGAGTCAAGACAGGTGCCGTAGTAAGCCTTTTCTTTAGTTCCTGAAAACTTTGTTCACATGCCTCAGTCCACTGAAACTTAGCTCCCTTATGTGTCAGTTTCGTCAATGGTGCAGAGATAGAGGAAAATCCCTCCACAAACCTTCGGTAATACCCTGCCAAGCCTAAAAAACTACGAATCTCTGTCGGATTCAAGGGCCTCGGCCAAGTCATCACAGCTTCAATCTTTTGGCCATCAACCTTGATACCATCGTTGGTAATAAGATGACCAAGAAAAGCTACCGAGGCGTTCGACCCGCTCTACAAGAAAGGAAGAAAATTACCGAATTACGAGATACGTGTTTACAATACAGTAGATGAGCACAGAACGAATATAATCTTTACCGTTTCTCAAATAACTCGCCCACAACTCAAAGTGTTAAGGCTCGGCCTATTATACATATATTTATTTCCAACTTCAGAGAGTTGGCATTTTTCTCTTTTTCAAGTATGCGTCCGCGGGCAAAAATATGCTGCCGCGAAATGCTCACGCGGACCGCGAAATTTTGGGCGCGGTCCGCGAACTTCCAACACTTAGCCAAATTTTTTCTTATCAAAATCCTGCACTGCACAACCAATTCCTACATACACTTCACAACAAGTTATTCCAAAACAATGTCTAATCTAGGAAGAGAATCAAAAGCAAGAAAGAAAACACACATGGGTTGCCTCCCAAGAAGCGCCTGATTTTACGTCGCGGCACGACGCATGTTACCATCATCATTTGAAATGGATCAACGCCACATTGTGGCTATCATCAATCTTGCCAAGGTAGTGCTTCATTAGGTGTCCATGAAAGATGTCGTTCCCTGAGGAGTGGAACTTCGACCATAGGTAATCTTTTAAACTTTGTTCTTCGTACATTCTTCGACTTCTCCTGATATCCCCTTTCGACATGCAGCTATTCCTTGGATCCTTCAAGCGGTACCTGACCTCGAAGATTGGGTTCAGAAGTTAACCTCAACTTCCACTTATGCCGAATTTGCATGGCGTGATTTAGCAAAGGGAAGATGGGAGGCCAAGAACCACGGTAAGAATCTCCTTTTTCATGTTGTGATACACTTTTTATACTTCATTCGTCACTAATTTTCTTTCATGCAGGCTTGACCAAGGATGCCATTTTGAGGCCTTCAAGTGGCAAGGAAGAAACCAAGTCCCCGGTTCCGAAGTCGGGGGAAGACAAGAAGAGGAAAACTGCCTCGCAGTCCGAGGACCCCAAGCCCAAACCTCGAAGGGTGAGGAGGAAAGTAATCCCTCTCACGATGGACTCGCTCCAAAAACTGAGAGACGAAGAAGAGGAAGAAGAGAAAATTGCAGGCATGTTAAGGCTATCCCGTCTTTCTTTTGGCACGATCCAAATGATACAAATGAAACGAGCAAAATACGCAACTTTCATAAATGACTCTATTCATAGAAATACTAGGGGTGTCTATATTCTTAATTCCCCATGTGTCTTATTATTCTATCATCTGTTCATGAGTCTCAGAAAATACGTAAGTTGATAAGTTTATTTTATGACATTAATCAAAGGCATAATGGTCCTATGACGTTCCGAGAGATTTTATTGACGTATTTCATATGCATTTCATTCATTTATACATGTACATTGACCCATGACCAGATGGCGTTATATACGCATATATTATATATATATGGGATATGAAAAAAGGTTACGACGTTATCTACGCACCACCACCAGATCAGCTGGTATACGTTGATAATTTGCCCACAGTAGCCGAGAAGGCTTGATGATGTTATGTACGTATATACCTATGCATGGTATGACATTTATACGCATTTGTATGGCATTGTAAATATTAATGATTCACAGAGTTATTCAGACTTACATGTTGAGTCTTTTACTCTATGTTTCTCTCATGTCTATTGTTTACTGATTTTTATTCCTTACATACTCGGTACATTATTTGTACTGACGTCTCTTTTGCCTGGGGACGCTGCGTTTCATGCCCGCATGTCCCGATAGCCAGATCGAGAGTCCTCCAAGTAAGCTATCAGCTCAGCGGAAGGTGTTGGTGAGCTCCAATTGCTCCGGAATTGCTATTTGGTCAGTATAATGAAGATATGTATTAATTGGTATGACGGGGCTCTGTCCCGACCTTTATGACAATTATGTATTCTTAGAGGTTTGTAGATAGATGTCATGTATATGAAAGATTGTATGGCCTTGTCGGCCTATATTCAGTGTACGAGTGCTCATTGTGGCCTTATAGGCCCCGTATGTCAAATGTATACGTTTTTATATCAGATTGGGCCGTCTTATATTGAGTATTCCCTTATGTTTATTCTGGTTAGCCCATGACGGCCTGTTTGGCCCATTTTCCAATGACAGTAAGATAATAAGGATATGTAATATTGGTACTCGGTTGAGTAAGGCACCGGGTGCCCATCATGGCCCATCGGTTTGGGTCGTGACAAAAGTGGTATCAGAGCAGTTCTGTCCTAGGGAGTCTACAAGCCGTATCTAGTAGAGTATTGTTTATGGGTGTGTTGTGCACCACACTTATAAGCAGGAGGCTATAGGGCATTTAGGATTATCACTCTTTCTTTTTACTCTAGATCGTGTGGTAGAGCTCAGTTATAAGAACTTAATTTTCTAAACTCCATCTTATTCATAATACGGCGATACTTATATCCAGAAAGACGGTTGGTAAGAGATATAGATGTGGAAGAGTTGAGTCAGAGGAACTCAATTTTGCATCATGCTTATGATGAGTAAATGTAAGGTCTCCGGCAGATCATGCGTGTACTAAGACGTGTAAGCTTCTTGATAAGGAGCCTTAAGGCAAGAATATCTATCCACCCCTATGGTGAAAGGCAACGAGAGATTCAGAAGATAGATACAAATTTTAACAAGTAAAAGAAGCAAGATGAAAAAGGGTACGAGGTACCCAGCTAATGAAGATTATCAATATTTATAATTCAGGTAGAGGAATATAAGCCTTTTGAGTTACCTTCAACAATAACAGAGGTATATACAATTGGCCACACCCATCTCATTTATGCCCTATGGGGGGCTAACAGAAGTAGTATAAGAGAAGGCAGAATAGTATGTGACAATATACTGGACTGTACCTACTGAGCTCATCACTACTTACAGTCCAAAGGTTAGCCTTGTTACTTATTGAGTTGGTTGTACTCATACTACACTCTACACCTCGTGTGCAAATCCAGGTGCTTCTGGACATGGCGACTGTTAGATTTTAGAGCGTTATCAGTTGGAGACTATCAAGGTA